TGGGATTGGAGCCTGAGCTTTGTGTCCCCTTTGCCACTGGACTCGAGTCATTCCTGTCTGAGTTTAGGGAAGTGCAGCACTCAGGGGTGTTCACCAGCTGCTTGCACAGGTCCTGTACATCTGTGAGGAAATCTGGGAAGGGGCTGACTGTGCTGGATTCCGAGTGAACTGGAGCTGCTGGAGCATTTGGGGATGGGAGCGAGCGATTCAGTTGGCAGCGCTGCTGAACGTGGGGCTGAATTCTTCCCCTGCTTCCCAGTTTCTGGAAGGGAACAAAAAGGGAAAAGATACTTAAATAAAGTATCTTTGAGGGAAAGATACTGAAATAAAGCTTATTCTTTGTAGCACAGTGGCATCGAGCTGCCAAAAACCATGACCAAATTTCTGTCCCATGGCTCTGGCGCTGGGTCTGAGCCCCCGGGGAGGCAGCTCTGTCACAGAGCAAATTCCATTTTTCTAAGGAAAAGCACACACTGGAGCAAGCCCTGCAATTCCAAGAGCAATCAGGCATCACATTTTCATCTTCCCAAGCAATCATTTATGAAGCAACCCTCGCTCAGCCTCCTGCCAAGACAAGTCCAGGAGACGCTGTGGGAAACTGTGGTGAAGTCACTGTGCTCCTCCAAGAATTCCTTGTCTTCCTGAAGGATAAAAAAGGCACCACAGTTCATCCCTCATTTTTAAGCAGCCATGTTAGTGAAGTTCTTATTAATGACTTCAAGATTTCCACTATTTCCCCTCAGTCTGAGCAGCGTTTTTGTACTGGGGAGTGCTCAGGCCGGGTAGAAATTCCATGGAAAAGGCTCAGAATTGCTCCTTTAATTTCTCCTGCTGCCCATCATGGGCTTGCTCCAGGTGTGCTGCTGTTGCACTTGGCCCCAAGCGAGCTGTGTCCCTAAGTGCAGTGCCCCTGGAGCGTGGCATCCGTGTCAGCCTCTCTCCATGTCAGCCTTGCTCCGTGCCACAGCCGGGCTGTGCTCGGCCCCTCTGGAAGGTTATTGATGCCCCTTGTGTGCCCACAGCTGGTCTGGATTCACTTGTTTGCTGACTGAAAGGCCTGGGGTTGGGAGCAGCCCCCCAGACCCTCAGCCCCTGCTTTCCCTGGGGCACATTCCCTGTTTGGGGGCGGATTCCAGCGTTAAACCCCAGCCACAAACCATTCATTCCAGCAGTTCGGAGTGAATCTCTGAACTCCCGCCTGGAATCCCAAGGTGTGGTGAGCTGAGGTGAAGGAAACAGGACGTTTGGAGAGGGAGGGCTCCCAAAGCCATTTTTTAGGGATGAGTGATTGCCAGTTTTTGTGGGAAGACGTCATGGCCCAGGCACGAGCCGCTGGAAGCCAGCGGTGCTGTCAAAGGGGCTCTGTGTCTCTTCCAAGAATTGTTAGAACTATCCCCGGAGCATCAAAGGACCAGGGAGGGAATTTTAAGCAGTTAGAGGTCACTGTGTCTGCTCTCCATCCTGAAGGGATCCAGAAAAACTGTTTGCTAAGGAATAAGGAGCGGAAGGTCCTGCCGAGGGCAGGAGCAGGGATCACACAGCTGATGACTATGGATGAGCTGTCGCTTTTCCAAAGGATTGGACTGAAGCTGCAGGACAGGAAACATCAGTAATGCTGATTTCTTAGATCTCAGTGCACAGGTTTAGGGGTAGAAATGCTCTGTATCTGGGGTTTTTTAAAAATCAGGTCAATGTTTGCAGCAACCACCGGATTCTTTCCCGTCCCCGAGGTCAGAACCTGCCAGTTCATACAGGGCAGTGACTCACAGGGTGACATCACTGCCCAGAGTCGGCAAAGCCTGTCAGGAGGCTCAGGAATGCAGCCTGGGAATGCTGTGCCAGGAATATCGATCCTCTGCTGGGGGAGTGACTGATCAGAAACGCTCAATTGATTCGTTTGGGTTCCACTCAGTCTGGGGTTCTGCACCACTGGGAGGAGTAATTAAAGCAATTAATGGGTTCACAAACCGGTCTGGAGGGAGTGGGAAAAGCTGGAATGTTTGTTTTACAGGATGAGCTGCTTTTCCAGCAGAGCTGCAGCTCCTCCCAGCACCCAGCCTGCCTCAATTTTTGGCTGATTTTTGGCTGTGCTTGGTCCCTGCACTGCAAGGGGCAGGGAAATGGTATTTTAGGGAATGAGGAGATGGATGTATGGATAGATCTGGAGATAGGAGGAGACAGGGTGACAGATGGGGGTGTCCAGCCTGGAAGAGAGAAGGCTCCAGGAAAGAAGCCTAAAGGGGCTCCAGGAAAGCTACAGAGGGACTTTGGACAAGGGATGGAGGGACAGAGCAAGGGGGAATGGTTTTAAACTAAAAGAGGGGAAATTTAGATGGGATATTGGGAATAAATCCTTCCCTGAGAGGGTGGGGAGGCCCTGGGAAAGGAGAATTAACCAACAGGGCCTGGGGTGTGATTCAGTGACCCTATAAACTTTATGAAGCAGCTTAGGGAGGGTCAGTGAGCTGAGAACCTTAATCAGAGCTAATCTAATTAATTACAAGCTTCTAAGGCACTTTTCTCTGCTCTTCAGGAGCAGCTCTGCTTGAGGGGATAATCCTCTTGGAAGGTTCTTCTGGCTTTCCCCTGGTCAGGGAGAACCCTGAGCCAGCCCAGGGTTTATGGAGTCAGGGCAGCCTGGCTGCTTTTGTCCTGGGTGGAATCCAGGAGGAAAAGCCAATGATGTTGGGGTGTCACCCTGGGGTGACCCTGCTGGGAACAGGCACCTCCAAACCTCTGCAGCTGGACAGGGAGACAAAACACATCCAAGGTTCCTGGGCCGGGATCAGGAGTGGGAGAGATCCCTCCCCCATCACCTCCTGGGAACCAGACCCAGACTGGGGACAGGAATTGGATTATTGCTGACAAAAGCAGAGCAGGACAATGAGAAGTGAA